GCCCCAGTTTTACAAGTAGGAACTCTGACTGTAAGTGGCGTTCAGTTTTACAAAATATTTTTGAGTTCTGAGTTGTCTGGAACGCAGAAATAGAGAGAGAGCGCAATTAAAGAGGTGCTATCATGCTTATGGTCATTTCCCCTCTCCTTTATTGAGTTATTTACCTTTTTTTGTGCATGTAACAGGTTTGCAAGGTGAAAAAGCCCAAAGTGAGTTCCCATCTCCCACAGAAAACTCTGCTCTGAACTGAAAACAGCTCGTTTGTAGTCCAGCCGCTTCGTGACGTCACAGGGATGAAAGCTAAACGCGCCTCATATAACGCTCGCCAAGCGGCGACTCCGACACGCCCTCAGAAACAGCGAGCTGCAGCACACAGCTCTCCTCTCCCTTCCAAACACTAGCTACCCTCCAGGCAGTCAGTGGACAGAAAGTTGTTCCTGTGATGTAGAGACAGAGCTCAGTTAAAACTTTATGGATACAGATTAATAACTCACCGCTCTGAAACTCTCGCTCCAGTCCGTGTTGCCGAGCTGGTTGGCAACACGTACGGCTGAACCCGAGCTGTTAAACCGGCTTCTCGCCCGACCCGCCCTTCTCTGCTTCTGATTGGCTAGTAGTCCTTAACTAGGAACTGAGCATGTGCAACTCCCAACAAAGATCATTTAGAGACAAGATGTATCACTCCATAGCTAAAACGAAGCCTTCAACACAGGCTGAAAAGAGGAGCTGCAGCAATGTGCAGTATGACAAAAATATAACCACGTAAACCTGCTCTGGTACAACCTCTAAATAAAAAATGAAAATGAGTATAACTTCTTTAAGTCCCGCACACACCGGAGGGAGAAACAATGAAGCGCATGTGTCACTGTTGTGTATTCCTTGGTATTCCTTTGTTGGTATTTCCTTTTTTATTGTGAAGTTGTTCTGTCCCTGGTGTCTTTATCTGGTTTTGCTTCCTGTTCTTTTGTTCCTGGGCTGGTTGTTTCCACCTGCCCTTCCACGCTCTAAGCTCCACCGTTGTTTAAATAAATCTCACTTACGATACCTGTTGTTCCTCTGTGTCTGCATCTGGGTCCAACACCTGTTTCTAGTGAGCTTAACATCCTGAAGCCTCCCTATCTGTCTGCTCGCAAAATACAGAAAATGCCTAAAAGCTGCTGTTTTATCATTTTTAGAAGCGGCTGAACCAAAGAACCGAGCCTTTAGAAGACAGTAATGATTTAAACAAAGGATTCTAAAATATTCCTTTGACATGCTGAAGTCTAATGTTTTGAGCTGTCAATCATCCACTCCCTCTGTGGGTGTGAATAGTATTTTTATGTTTAAAGCTGTCAATCAAACCTCCACCTTTATAGTACAGACATCAAGGACTCTCACACACAGTTGGTGGTCCTCAGAGAGCAGACTGAGGCCTCTCTGTTTCTCCTCTGGGGTGAGGTGGGGGGTCTTTATAGTCTTTCTGAACCTCGTCCTCGCTTTTCAAACAAGTCGCCTTTTTCTAAAAATATGCACATTTAAAAGCCACGTCCCGACTCAGGCAGATTTTCCCTCTGAACGCTGTCCTCTGACTGTCCAGACAGTCCAGACAAGTATTGTCAATCAGAAAGTAGCATCATAACCTCTAGGCTATGTTGTCAACCTGGTGATGTAGAAAGGTCCTCCATCGTGCAGCTTCGACTAGCCAGCGTCGATGCTCACTCAGCATTGGAGGGGGTTTTAACCCTCTCAGTGTGGAAGATCCTCCACGTTAACGAGCAAACAGAGTGAAAGTAGGTAGGGGGAGGGGGGGCAGGTACTTTCGGAAAGGCCCTAAGTCTCCTTCAGTTGTTACTGTGCACAGCAGCAGTGCCTGGCTTACTTCCTTCAGGTATCCGATACCCACAAATGTTAAAGAGCGCAGACCTACAGACCTACAACATGGCTTCCTGGCTAGCAAGCTTACCGGTTTACATTAGCATATGTCAGCTTGACTTCTTTAGATCAACGGCGATAAAGCGGGAAACCTTTATGCTTTAACTTATGTCTTTAAAGCAATCAGAAGAAACATTGATAGCCTACTCTTACCTGTATTCTCCTCTTGCCAAGGTGCGGTGCTGTCAGTGCACGGGGGAAGTCTGTCGGGTGACAACACCACGCACTGCACTTTCCTATCCTCTGCTGACCCCCCCAGAAGACAGGCGACTGTCTACCAGATATGTTCATTACCATTCAGTCGTGTCTCCCACCTCTAGCATCTTGTACCATGTTCTCATGTCTTTTCTGAACAGCTGGGTTAACGCTGTTTCCTGATGCAGCATTTCCAGATCAAGCATTTCTTTTTGTTACTAAACTCTCTATATTTTCCAAGTGAAAATTCCATATAACTATTCAAACAAAGTGGGGTTAACTGCACTGAGCGGTGGATGCACCCACTCCAGCTGCCTTTTCCTTTAAAAAGTGTCTCATTTCACCCAGAATTCATTGCAGTGTAGTCCTTCTTAAGATGGTCGGGGTCTTTAGTGCTTTGTGCAAAGGTCTGATTTAGATCTTTATTTTCTAAATCTAAACCCTAGTCAAGGTCTATCTTTGTGAAACCAGCCCCAGAACAGGAAGCTGCAGTCGGACAGATAAACAAGCTGAAAGTCACTTTAAGGATTCAGCAGCTGATGATGATTCCCCGACACGTTGTCAGCTCACACAGCTCAGGAGTAAAAAATATTCATTGTAGACCCTCCTCCGTCACCTGTCAATCACAGACGGGTTCTCCCCTAATCATCATATCACTGTTCCACATCAACACACACCACAGCAGGGAAAGAACCCAACATTTCCTCGTCAACACTCGACTGATCTCACACTGTAAACATCACCGACGTTAAACACACGCTGCCTTAGCGTGCGTGCGTTAGCTGACCACACTGACACAAACACCCACTGGATGAAGTTACAAAGCTTCAGCTCAAACACATCACATGTCTCCCTTTTTGTACCACACACACTCAGTGGCCACTTTATTAGGAACACCTGAGCAAACAGTCCTGTAATAACTTCTTTATTATGAAGGAGATCATGTTCAGGTTGTTTAGACTCACCCATCAGATCACCGTGTGCTGCTGTTGTTGCTGTCGCCATCTAGCGGCACATTTAGGTTAGTACAATTGACAGTTTAGCACAATAAGAGAAACACAGCGGCTGAAAGAGGACGACGGCAGAGAGGATGAATCTAAAGTGTTAAAAATATTTTAAACTTATTTATATATATTCAGCTGTAACCCGACGGGACAGAATGCAGCAACTGGACATGAAGATATGGGCGGTTTACTGATGGACCAAGTGATTGTAAACTCACAGTCATCCTCACTCAGAAACATTCATCTCCAGCATGATAACTTTGATAGAAATCATCCGTCAGTGTGACTGATAACAACATGACAGATGATTGATCATTTATCAGTTCCAGCTTCATACAGATGCAGAAATGTAGCCCACAGTAAATGTTTCAGTGCACTTGTTGACGACATGAGCTGCCTTAGTGTCCACGGGGTCACAGCGTTATAAAGAAGCACAGCGTCGCCTATAGATTTTATTCTGAGGATAAAGATGTCCAGAGATAACTTTCCCCGGCCACACGATACGTCACCAACAGGTTGATCAGAAAAGCGGTCATGTTGGAGATCATGTTTAGGTTCCAGACTAATTTCTAATCGGGATATTTCTAAATACGTAAACTTCTGCATACGAATGCGCTTTGATATCGACAGTAGGGCGTGAATGAGGAAAGGAAACGGTGTGTCAGACAGCTGCTTCAGGCTCCGCAGAAGGAATCAGAGAATCTCGGAGTTTGTTAAAACTAACCTCCTTCTGCAACTTCACAGGATCAGTTCCCTGAGTTACTGATCTGCCTGAACTCGCTCTCTGAAAGTGAAAACCCAGAGTTTCCCTCATCAGGCTGAACATACTCCTGCTTTCTGAGAAACTATGAATGAAATCTAAGAAAACTCAAAGGTGAACAAGTTTACGTAACGTAGAGGCAGGCTGGTGGCCAACACAAGACAAACAGATCGCATGCAACCAATAGCCCAAAGAACAGGGTCCAAAATGAATCCAAAACAGGCACCGGAGATGGGAAGAGACGCTTGAACAAAGACGAACGGACGACAACAGATAACAGAAAGACACTCACTGAAGGGAGGTGATAATAAGACACAGGTGAACCCATCAGGGGAGGAGCTAATAATCAAACATGCAGGAAAACCAGAGACAGGAAGTGAACAGAATGAGAGGGAAGGAAAATAACAGTCAAGCAGGAAACACAGAATAATGAATGACATACCTAACCTGAAACACTGAGTGGGAAGACAACATGGCACAAGTCCACTGGCTCCCTGTCCAACACCAAATCCAGTTTAAAGTCTACCTCATCACAATAACCTGCCCCCTCCTACACCTCCCACTCCACAGACGCCAACTTCCTTTCTCCGCCCACCTGCCCAGAGTACTGAACCTGGAAGGTGTTCCCTCTGAAACATCGTCTTTTTTACCTTTTAAAGCGCCATATAAATAAAATGTATTATTATTATTATTATTAGAAGCAAAGTAAATACAAACTCAAGAGGATGGGTTTAACAAAATAAAACCAGAACCCAAAAAACATGACAGTTCAAGGTTTGTTAAATGATCGTATTTAACAGGAAGGTAGATTAGACAGAATCAACAGGTTGACCAGCGGCTGTTTCTAACCTGCGCGGCAGAAGAAACACTTTTTATTCCCAGAGACTTTGCCCGGGCTTGCAGCATAAAATGACTTGATCTCCGGCCTGCACACACTAAACAATATTAAAACACAGAGTGACTTGGTCTTTGAGTAGTTATTAATCAAGTACCTTCATACTTATACTTGAGTTGGTTAGTTGTCAGTACTCTACCAACACTGGTGCCTCTTCTGTCTCTCACAAACACAACAACTATCAAAGAATGAAGTCAGCTGACAACATTTGTTTCCTCTCTCTCTCATTTCCCAGGATGCCTTTGTGGAGCTGTACGGTGCGTCCAGACCTCCGGGCAGTTTCTGGTCTCTGAGGACTGTGTTTGGACTGGCTGTACTGGGAGCAGCTGGGATCACACTGGGGGCTTCTGTTCACACAGAAGTAGAACTGGTCTGATCCGGTCAGCAGCATCTGAGCTGCAGTTTCTCTAACGTCCACCAGATGCCGCTGTGATCAAACTCTGACTGAAAACCTCCAACTCCTCTCTTGTTCAGCTCTCAGCAGATTCTCTGAGCTTCTTCTTCTGACACACAGAGGGAGGATTTTCAAAGTAAATGTCCCATGAAGGAGATTAAAAGGTGTAGGCCCACAGTCACTGCTCGCTCATCCCTCCTCAGGTCACAGGAGAGAACTCAAACTTGACAACACCATTGTGGACTGGAAGACATGACAGGGTATTAAAGGCTGTTGAGTTGAGGATGAATTTTCTTTTTTTTAATGGAGCTAGGCTAACGGTTTCCACCTGCTTACAGTCTTTGTGCTAAGCTAGGCTAAACATGTTGAGGACCGATCTCTGTGCTGGAAACAGAGATGAAAGAAGAGAAAACAAGACTTTTAACAGCAACAGGAAGTGATGAACCAAACCTTTAAAAGGAGGCTCCTCGATGACACTGAAACAGGAGACAAAAACTTTGCCCTCACCCTGTTTCCACAGCTTGTTTCAGATCCAGAGTACGAGACGTTAAAAACTGAAAAAATAAGGCTCTCAGAAAATACAAATGTAGATTAAAGTGTCCGACTGTCAGACGAGACGTTTAATAAGAAACACTGACAGCTTTAATGAGCCAACCCAAGCGTGTGATTGGCTCCTGATTGGAGTTGGTATGAAGCAACTGTGGTCAAAGTTGACAACATTCCTAAAGTCAAAGAAGAAGAGCGAACAACTGGCCTCAGGTGACTCCATCGTTCCAACAGCCAGGAGCACTAACGAACCAGGAGGTCCATCACGTTGATACCAGAGAGGTGAAACAGCTCGGGCTCCCTGCCAGTCAGTCAGAACTGAAGAAGCCTCTTGGATGAAAGTGTCTTCAACCAAGTCCAGCTGCCCTTGATTTTACCCTTCCTTGGAGAACTCTGAACTGGTTGACTGAGAACCTTCCCAGACAAGAAGAGCGATCGCTTTCTAATAAGGAACCTTTAAAGCTGTGGTTCCCGACCTTTGTCCCATCAGATGGGCCTTAGTGCCCCTTCATCATAACCTTTGTGGCATTGTTCAATAGACTTTGTTTTGGCCAAGTTTGCATTTGTACTGCTGCTCAGTCCCTCCAGGATCTCGTGGGCCAGCTTTGTGATTGCTGCAGCAGCTTTTCTAAAATATTGCAATGAAAGTTGTGATTTATTTGGGAATTTTGGGGGATAAAATTGTGGGAATAAGTGAAAACTGTTATTTTTAACTTTAGAATTATAGTTGAATCATGAAACAGTCCGTCCAGGACTTGGCAGACCTAACCCTAACCCCTGCGTATTTAAACCACCTTGATTCTTTCCTGCAGCTGGCCGGGATGCAGCAGCCTGTGTCTCAGCGTCTCTCTGACGTCCTCCATGTGATTCTGACGTTCTCTCTCAAAGTGTTTGTCAGTAGATGATTTCCTTTATGTTTGACCACGATGCTTCCCCGCTTTGGTGAAGAAGATCTGGATCCTGGTCTTCACGGTCCTTTGCTGTTGTTTTACCTGGTTGGGAATCGCTTCTTTTGAAGACTTATAACTGTTTATTAATGCTTTATAGATTATTTAGATCTATATATCATTCAGATCAGTACTCATTAAAATGAAAACATGTTGGTTTGAGTAACAGTTCCATCAGTTTTTAATACACATCAGATGTGTGACAATACAGAGTTCAAGTTACAACGTAACCGAGCAGGATTGTACCGGAGCTCAGTGGTTAAAAGCTGCATCACGCTTATTTAGCATGAAGGACGTCCTCCTCCTTCTGCTTCCTCTTTACATCTGACATATTAATAACAGGACGTTCCGGTGTTTCGTTCCTGCCACTCACAAGCTGCATGTCAAGAGATTTTCATCTTTAGTCTCTTTAACATTGTTAGATAGGACACCCAGACTGAAGGAGAGGGTGTTAATGCTGCTAATGCTGAAGGGCTCATGAAGTCTTTGGACTTCCATGTCTTAATGTCAGTGATGCAGGACGTAAGACAGCACACATCAGGTACCAGGCTTTAACAGTTCTGTGTCATCTGTGTAGAAATGTAAAAAATCAGTGTTATGTCTACGACTATTTTCCCCAGGGGCAGTAAATAAGAGGGGGGCCAGAATAGACCCCTGGGGGACTCCTAAAAGAGAGCGGGAAGAAATCTCTTATGTTTGGTGTCAGAGGTGGAAAAAGTTCATCACAAAGACTGTTATCATTGTTGTTGTTCTTCTTCTGGGGAACATTTGAACTCAGTCATTTTATTTCACAGACATTTTAACACACAGGTTTTCTTTGTAAACTTTGGATCATAAACTGAATGTTAGTATTTGGTGTCGAATGAAGCCCGTTGGTTTGTGATTCAGTTAATTTTATGCACTTTGTTATTTTTCTGAACTTAAAACATATAGAGATGTGATAGGAAAGTGACAGTGATGTGAATATGTGCATAATATGATTAAAGCTTTGTTAAGATTATTTTGATGCTATAAAACATTTTTAATTCTTCCACGAGGAGTCACCAAAGTCAGAAATGCTCCTTCCTGTAGGAGCTTTAAGAATGTAAATATGATGGTGATGAAGATTCTGCATGATAACCTTTTTCCTCCGCTTTTGTACAGAGCCTGCTGTTTAAAGCCAGATCACTGAAAACAATTAAAATATATGAAAACTACAAAACTTTAGTTTGTTTGTGAGGAAACTCCACAGGAAGTCTGAACTCTTCTGGCTGTTTCCTGAAGCAGTAACTGACCCACATGTATCAGAAGTAAAGATGAGTCTCTTCATTTGTTTCCGGCTGTAGATTAGTTTCGCTGGTTGTTCTTTTTCTGTCACAACAATAATCAAGTGATCAGCAGTTTATAGCTCTGCCCAAACTACATCTGATTGGTTTGAATCCTGTCAATCACATTGATGGGCTGCAGAAGTAAAACCTGATCTTCTGCAACACACAAACCCACGCAGGACGTTTTCCTGAGAATCCCTGATTATATTATAATAATTTGCTTAATTGACAGAAACATATTCACCAGCTTCCCACCTCAGAATAGTTTAATGTCACATGAACACTTTCCAGCACAGAAGGTTTCAGTGTGACAAACTCTTCATCAGAATGGAAGCGGCTCCACCTTCTTCAGGGCCTCATCTGAAGACTGAATTTTTCCGAGCAGGTTCATTTCATCTAGCGCCACCATCAGGTCAACATGTTACGCTTTGGTTTGTGACTAAATACCTGCAGAACTGATGATGTTTCCATCAGCCTCAGCTGTACTCTGTGTTTACAGCTAATTAGCTAATGTTAGCATGCTAAAACAATAAACTAAGATGCTAAACATGCTAGCTCGTAGCATCACTGTGTACAGACTAACAGTGCTACAAGCAATGCTTTAGGCTCCAAGTCTTTTTGTAGGCAGACCTTTGTGCAGCGCTTCTTTGACCAACTGTCTATCAGACAAAAAGGCCTGGAGGGAAATAATTATTGTATAGAAAAGCACAACACAAAACAGGAAAGCTAATCTTCCTACAAACCAACACAAACTTTACTTACACATACTTTCCAAGTTGTTTAATTGAAATGTTCAGCATTTAAAAACAGGAAACATTTCCTCCTGACTGCCCCGCAGATCTCTGTCACCCTGAGAAGAACTAAACATGTTAAAGACAACATGTAAAAAATGGACCAGATCGAACAGTCCAGGCTGAAGAAGTCCTGCAGCAGTTATGTCTTTCTCTTCTTCTAAACTAACCATTTCCTCAGAGGTATCAGGTGTTTCATGAGATGTTCACGGGCTGCATTTTCTTTGTCCATCAGTGAAGCTCTGTCTCCATCTGGTGGCTGAAACAAACTGACAGACTTTTTGTCCCTTTGTCTCCTCTTCAGAGTTAAAGTCCACTTTTTAAAAACGTTTTAACTGCAAAACCTCTCATTCAAACATTACAATAAGTAACGTGAGACTGTAAAACAGCTGTTAGAGATTCATCATCATCACACATTCTTTCTTTTGCTTCATCTTAATAAGTCCAGCTCTTTGGAAAGGCATGGATCCACCTCACAGAGATCAGCGATCAGGACAGAAGTGGCTTCAGTTCCCTTTCTTCTAGCTGTGTCAATCATGTCTCGTGCTTTATCTGCTCTGACTTTTTCTGTGGCTGACTGCATTTCATAATCATTTATGACACGGCACTCAAGGAGTTTATCCAGAAGCTGGTCCAGAACAGGTTCAGAAACTCCGGGTCCGAACTGACAGCAGCCTGTCCTCTACTGGGATGTCGTCCTGGTCCAGTATAATAACTAACTAGGCAGCTAATCAAATATCTTTTAAAGTAGACTAATTGTATACTATTTCATCATCTAGCTTACTACCCAGATCAACAATCCCACACTAACCCTTTTTTTATGAAGGTATTTTGTGTCTTTTTAATGCAAGCAAAAGCATATTTATCGTACTGCAATCAAAAATCAAGTTTGTAATTAAAAATAAACAGGCCTTTTTTTTACGTCACAATTTCAAGTCAGAAAGTTTTGCAGGTTAAAGTTGAAAAAATGAGAGATTTTTTGGTGGGTTTGACTGACCAATCATGGATTTGCATGGCCACGCCCACAATCCCCTCAGTCAGCTCTACTGGAGACGGCGTTGTAACGTGAACAGGCTAGATGGAGGTAAGTTGACATTGTCGCTTAAATGTAGTATGGCATGATTTAATGATTATTTATATTTACCGTTGGCAAGGCCACGGAGTCTGTCGCTGTCTCCTTTTTTAGAATGACATGTATAACAGTTAGCTAACGTTAGCCGTCTTAGCATGAAGCTTGATTGGCTGTGCATTTATGCTAAGCTAAGGTTAGCTACTCATGTTTAACACATTGTACATGATATCCAGTTTTCTCTGACTGTGGTAGCTGAAGTTTATGGTCACACAGTATAAACTAGTCTTTAGAACGCTGATGCTCCTTTAGATACGACATAGAAGCATTTATTACTCTCATTTATTTTCCTCCCATAGTTGCAGTGTGGATCATTGGTGACAGCTATGGCCAGCATGGTGGCCAGAGAGCTGCAGAGAGCTTAGGGAGCATCTTCACTCTCTCATAATCTCTCATTTAGACCATTTTAGACTTGCAAAACTTTTTGACTTGAAATCAAAGAGGACATATTAGCAATTAAAAGTTTCTGTGACACAATAAAAAGGCCTGTTTATTTTTAATGACAAACTTGATTTTTGATTGCAGTGCCATAAATATGCTCGCATTAAAAAGACACAAAATACCTTCATACTTATACACAGTGCCATTTTTCGTCCGAACAGGGTTGAGACAGAATTTCAGTCGGGTACTAAATTCTCTAAGAACCATAAAGGACTCGTTCAACCATCTCATCATAAGTTACTAACTGCCTTTAGCAGAGTCTACAGTAAAAAATGTATGTACTTAATGCTGGAACAGAGCTACAATTTTCTTGGCTTTTGATCACTGCCAATCATTCTGAACTGTTTCAAAGAATTCTATGAGACTTGTAAATTGCTAAATATACATATTCTTTATAAAATCTCACAGTCACAGCTGGACTAATGCACTTTTCTAAACCAGTACAGTATCCCTTTTAAGTCTCAAGTCAGGGCTAAAATATCTTCTCTCTTATTTAAATCATTCACTGTGAAATGTTGTTGGCTCCAGTACCAGCAATGTAGTATTTATTTATCCCTAGTATGTCTGATTAGCAAGCCAGCAATTGACTGCAGACACACAGTATCTAACAACCAGGCATGATTTCTTTTGTATTTTAAAGTAATTAATTTAGTTACCGTGAGGGAGGAAGAAACCTTTACTTTGCTTTTAACAATAAAGCAGCCTAGAACTGTAAAACCAAATGATGTCTGTATAGTCTTAAAATGCCTTAACTCAAGTCTTTCAAATCTATGCAGTATAAAAAGCATCAAGTTAACACACATACATATGCAAATCCTAATGCAGAAATATGCCAATGGAAAACACACCTTGGATAGCTGTAGTGATACTCAGTACTCTGTTTGCCCAGGTCAACAAGAACATCATCAAATGCTGATGTTTTAAAAAGTAGGTGGTGCTATGACTATGAGTGAATATGAGCTTGTTGATGTGTTCAGGACGGGACTTTTATCAAATGTGTAAAATGTGGTACAGATTTGAGCATGTACAGTAAAGATACAACAACTTCCTGTGTCATGGCAAAGCGTGGAACTTTGCTGCCAGACACGCTGTTTACTGAAAACTCACAAGCTTTTAAGTTGATATTGCCAACATACCACAGCATGACACATGGCGCTATGACTTTGAGTGAATGATGGATGTGTGGTTCTGTTATCACACGTCAAATTTGGTAGAGACGTGAGCATGTACACTTTCTGTTCTGTGGCGAATCACTGATATTCTACTCCACGCCACGGGCACACCTGGTCGACCAACACTCACCATTTGTACAACGTGTAATCATCAGTGGGATAAGACTGCACGGCAAAGATTTGAAGTGGATTGGACTAGTTCTCTAGGAGGAGTTCATTAAAGTACGGAGTGTGTAAATCACCAAATATCACAATTAAATCCAAAAATGCCGACTTCCTGTTGGTTGTCAACCTGCCTGGCGTGTGTGCAAAGTTTTTGAGGACGTTTAGGCCGTCAAAGGTCAGGTCAACATCAGGTCAACATGTAAATGTGTCCAACACTTTGGTTTATGACCAAATACCTGCAGAACTAATTACATTCCCATCAGCCTCAGCTGTAGGATGTGTTTACTGCTAATTAGCTAATGCTGACATTCAAATTAGCTTCATTGTGTAACAACAATATTGCCAAAGCATCATACATACTACATAAGAACAATCAACCCCATACATTTCATTAAACAAGTAATTAAAGCTTAAAGTAACCAAAGCGTATGTGTATGTTAAAAAAAAAAAGTATATATGTTAAAAATTTAAATAAAATAAATAAATGAAACGGTAACGTGTGTGTGTGTATTAATAGACATAATATATAAAAAATAATTAATTGATTAAAAAATAATACATTTTAAAAAAGAAATCAGTATCAAATGTAAAAACAAAACGATCAAAATAATAATAATTTGAAAATCTGTACAATCATATATCAGTCTGAGGTTCCACTGGTTGTTCTCACTTCATGGCATGAGGAGACATATTTTCACATTTGGGCATTTCTCCCAGTAAATAGGGGAGTTTCTGTGTGTCTGATATGAATCCAAATTGGGGGTATATTTGGGAAATATTTACAAAGTGTTTTTGTCTTACTGTTTTATATTTAGGGCATGAGGTTAGAAAGTGCAGCTCTGTCTCTGCCTGTCCTCTGAGTCTCTACCTGTCCTCTGTCTCTGCCTGTCCCCTGTCACACTGGGAGCAGAGTCTCTCCTCTTGTGGTAGCCATCTCTGTCTGTGGTGACCCTTTTCTATGGCCAGGCTGTGTTCACTCAGTCTGGATGTTGTCAACATTTTTTTTAATTTAGGATATTTTATTGTACTCAGGTAATTTGCCAGTTTGAATTCTCTTTTTAGGGTCAGATAACATTGGAATTTACTTTGTGTTTTGGTCGTTTCTTTCCAGTATTCAATATATTTTTCTTTCTGCTTGCTGATAATTTGGTTTGGTCTGCTTGAGTTTGTGTTGCTGTCCTGAGGCTGTTGGGGAC